GCCGCCTGCCGGGGGACACGCTCAGCCCGCGCCCGGGACCCCGCAGAGAGCGACGGGCCCGGGGCCGCGGGACCCAGGCAGGGCGGCCGGCGCATCCCCCGCGGGCAGCGGGGCCGCGTCCTACCGGGGCCGGGAACACCGGGCGGGCGGCCGCCGCTCGACCGCCAACGGAGCGACTCCGGGAGGCGGGAAGCGCCTGTAAACCCGGTGTTTCACAGCAATACCGTTTCCAAATATTCCCCCGTTTTCTCCCAATATTCCCCCGATTTTTTTCGAATTATTTCCCCGTTTCTTCGAACAATTCCCCGTTTTTTCGAATAATCCCTCGTTTTTACGAATAATCCCCCGTTTTCCGAATGGGGGACTATAAAAAAGAAAAATATAAAAATAGGAACAATAATAATTACGGTATTAAAATAATAAAAATTTACCCCCAACCGTTCGGCTGCCGGGAGCCGGCTCCGGGGGCGATCCCGGCCAGGCTCGCGGGGCGGCGGGCGGGGGACGGGGCGGCTCCGGGGGCGCGGGACTCACCGCCACTTGGTGCGCCGGTTCTGGAACCAGGTCTTCACCTGGGCGTCCGTCATCTTGAGGGACTTGGCGAGGGCAGCGCGCTCGGCCGAGGCCAGGTACTTCTGCCGATGGAAGCGCTTCTCCAGCTCGCAGATCTGCACCCGGGAGAAGGATGTCCGCGGCTTCTTGCGCTTCGGCGGAGTCCGGTTCTGGTAGGGATGCCCGATCCGCCGGGTCACCGTGAAGGGCGTCAGCGCCGCTGCCGCTGCCCGGGTGGGAAGCACAGGGATCAGCCCCGCGCCCGCACGGTGCCGGCCGCCCCCCCGGGGCCGCCGCTCTGCCCGTCGGCCGCCCGCGCCCCGCCGGCCCCCGAAGGGACCGCGGCTCCCCGGGGTCCCGCTTCCACCTCTCGTCGAAGGGCTGCGGAGGCGAGTGGGGCCCGGCCGCCCCCCGGGGCGCCCCGCGCTATCCACGCCGTGAGGAGAGCGATTTTTCGGCTCGCTCCGAGCGCGGGGGAGGGAAGCATCCAGCGGCCGCCTTTACTTTTATTCTTATTCGCATTACTATAATTATTTCGTTTTACATTTTTTATCGGCCCTTTCGTTGCTTGTCGGGAGCCGGCTCACCCGCTCCGCCCCGGCGCCTTACCTGTGAACCTGTCCTTGACGAAGCGCCTGCTGCTCTCCATCCAGGGGAAGTTGAGGCTGCCCAGACTGGGCACGGCGGGCATGGTCGGGATGGCGCTGGAGATGGGCGGCGGCACGGCCCCGGGGATGGGCCTGTGCGCCGGCACCCGGATCACGCCGGCCGGCGCCAGGCTGAGGTTCACACTGTACGATCCCGAGTCCTCGAAGGGCGCGGCGATGGCCGGGAAGGGGGCCGGCAGGGCCGGGTAGGGCGCGCCGCCGCGGCCGCCGGGGCCGCCCAGGAAGGTCGCGCCGTCGGGGCCCCGCGGGGGCGGCGGCGGCGGGGGAGCGCTGTCCTGCTCGGGGCTGTTGAGGATCTGGTCGATGCCGAAGCTGATGGGCTCGTGCTGGTGCTGGCCCTGCGCGGGCCCCGGCGGGTCCATCCTCGGCGGGTCCATCCTCGGCCGTGGCCGCTCTGGAGGCGCCGCCGCTCGCGCTGCGCTCGCGGCCCCGGACCCGCCGCGACACCAAACTTTGCGGAGCGCGCGGGCGCGCGCGCAGCCCCGTCCCCGCCCGCGCCCGCCGCGCGCCCCGCGCCGCGTGCGCCCCCGCCGCCGCCATTGGCCGCCCCGCCCGCCCCCCGCGCGCCCATTGGCTGCCGCCGCCCCGCACCGGCCGCGCGCGCGGGCGCGGGGGCGCCGTGACATCACAGCGCGCGCGGACAATGGCCCTGCGCGGGGGGGGACGGGACGGGCCGCACGTCGGGGGTGCACCGCGACCGCCCCGCACCGCCCGGTGGGCCCGCACCGCCCACGGCCCCGCACCACCCACGGCCCCAGTCCGGCCCTGAACCGCGCACCGCCCCGCACTGACCACGGCCCCGCACCGACCACGGCCCTCCAGTGCGCAGCGCCCCGCACAGCACTGACCACGGCCCCGCCCCGCCCGACGGCTCCGCACCGCCCGACGGGCCCGGCTCAGCCCCGGCCTGCCGGAGTCGCGACCCTCCGACGGTCCGCTCCGCGCTGCCCGCCCGAGGCGACCCTGCGCAGCAGGACTCGGTACCGGCCCCCTGAGGCTGCCCAGGCTCGCCAGGCCACTCCAGGCGCCCGCCCCAACGGCAGTGCGGAGCGGCGGGACGAGGCGGTGCCTGGGGCCGGGCCGGGTGTCGCCCGGAGCCTTGCGGGGGTAGATTCCGTTTAGGCTTAATTTGTGGAGCCCGGCGCGGCCGCCGAGCGCGTTTGCAGCCGGTCCCTGACGGCCGAACGGGACTCAAGGCGTTAACAATTAAATAACGCTCAGTGCATTTACTTAGTTCCCTCTTATAAAGGGAAATGAAAACAGGGAATAGAATTTCCCTGTTAATAGAATGTAATGGCATTTGATCAGCACCTGGCAGAGCGAGCCCGGGATGCCGGAGCGGTGACAGGAAGGACTTGATTAGTTTTTAAACCTTAGGATTCAATTACCGCAACGCTCCGAATCGTTTCAGCGGCAGCGAGCGGGACCGACCTGCCGGGCACTGCTTGGAGCCCGCCCGCGGCCGGTGGCATTTGCGGGCCGCGCTGCCCGCGGCTCTTCCCCCGCGGCAGAAGCGGGTCGGGGGTGCCTTTTCCGTGCGCCCCCTGCCTCCCCTGCCCCGCACAGGGCTCGGGGTCCGGCCCCGCGCCGCCCCCGACGGGGCCCGGCGGCCGCAGCGAAACTGCCGCGGCAGTTTCCCGGGGAGTGGCGGAGGCTCGTCCCTGCCCGAGGCCGTCGAGGAGCCTTCCCCGGCTCCCGACATCGAGGGACACGAGCCCCGCCCCGCCCGGCGGTCATTAACACGGCTATTAAACGCCCAGCCCCCCGGGGGAACCGCCCGCTGCCACCCCCGGCCCCGGGCAGCCTAATCGGATTGTCCCCGCTCGGTGCGAGCGGAGCCGCCGCTCCCCGGAGCGGAGCTAATCGGATTGAGGCGATCCCGCAAGCTGGTGCGGGGCCGCACAGCCCCAACGGAGCTGCCGCGGGCGCCCGGCCCTCGGGGCCCCGCTCCGGACGGCCCGGCGGGGCGAGCGGGAGGTGGCGGGAGGGGGCAGAGGGGAAAAGGAGCAGGGGAAAAGGTAAAAAAAAAAAAAAAGGCAATCCGTGGAGGCTAAATAAATAAAGAAAAAAATAAAGTGCCACCCAGTCCTGGATCAGGGCAGGCTTTGTTAGAGAAAATTGCAGCTCGATCTGCATAATGGGAGCTCGGGCTGCCCAAGGCGATCTTTTTATTGCGTGTGTGTCTGCTGTTATCAATTTTGTGAACGATTTCACAGGGAGCCTGGCAGACTTGAGCTGGAATAATATGCAAAGATGAGCTTTGAATAATGAATGATGTGCTTTTAAACCAATTCCAAAGTGTCTGTGATAGTACAATATGAAAAGGGGTGGTAAGTAATAGTATATTTAAAAGGCGCTAGTATGTTTTTATTACTATATTTAAAAAGATATCTATATTATTTTTGTGAAATGGATAATATATCACAGAGTCTTTGATAATCAGCTAAACAATACATTTTTCTTTGGGAAAACTCTCCTGGTTTTACACAGTTAAATATAGAGTATCAGCGTACAGCTCTGTAACGCTCAGCTACCTTATTAAATATTAACGCTATTTTAATATTAGCTTTTAAATTTAATATGTTGACGTTCTGCAGTTTTACTTTAATTATGCTTTATAATTAATAACCCCGGACGTATGGTATCCTTAAATGCAGCTCTCCCGCAGCCGCTTCGTCTTCCTCGCCCCTCCGCGGGCTGGGGGCGTGCAGAGCCCCGCACAGAGCCCCGCACAGCCTCGCACGGCACCGCTTTCTACCCAAAATCCGCTTCCGCTTTGCCAAATGCCGCGGTCTCTGGCTCTTTGCCGGGCTCCGCTCCCTCCCTCCCGGCCCCCACCCGGAGCGAGCGGATCTGCGGCCCCGACGGCACGACCTGGGCCGGAGCCGGGTCCCCAGGTCCTCCTGGCACGGCGCGGTGCTGCGACCCCCAGCAGGGCCAGAGGCCCGCGGGGTGACTGTGGCGTGGAGATGGGCGTGCCCGCCCCAACCTCGGCCACTCTGTGCCATCGGGGAGCCGGACCCAATTAAGGGCTGGCCTGGCCGGGCCCGGGGAGGCAGCAGAACGCCCGGGCAGGCGCAGCTCCCCATCGCAGGGGTGCAGCTGAGTGTAAGGAACCCCATACTCAGCTGGGCTCTGGCCAGGCCCCAGACATGCATAGCAAAGTGTGGCATAGCATAGCCTGGCCTCGGCGTGGCACAGCATGACATGGCATTACCTTTGTATGGAGTGGCACGGAATGGCACAGTACAGCATGGCCTTTGCGTGGCACAGTGTGGCACAGCATGCCAGGAAAACAGCCTGTGAGTGCCACCTGAGCACCGGCTGCGGGTGCGTCTGGCCCAGCACAGGGGGCCGGGCAGCTGCAGCACTCATGGGATGGTGTCTGGTTGGGAGGGGGTGAGCCATGCAGGCAGGAGGAGGCTGGGAAGGGAGGGTGCTGGGAATGTGTGGGAAGGCTGCTGTGGAGTGAGAGGGGGCATTGTCAGTCCTTTAAAACTCTGCATCTTGTACAAAGATTAACTGAGATGTGGTGCTGAGCCCATGGTGCTGGCAGAGAGAAGCTCCATGCAGCCCCACTGCCAGGCTGGGGCATGGCTCCTTTGGCCTGTCAGGGAGCATGGCTGAGTCACTGAGACTGACCGGGGCCAGAGAGCACTGCTCCAGCCACCTGTGAAGGCATGGGGGGACATAGTTAAGCAGGGGAAAAAAAGTAATTAGTGCTGTGTAAGAGGACTGACCACCTCCCTGGCACCAGTGGGCAGAAGAGTTTCCTCTCCAGTTTGTCACTGGGAGTCACTGGGGACAGTGGTGCAGCATCTGTCTCACTCATCCCTGAAACCCAGATTTTCTCCCAGGCCTGACTGCCATGGAGGGGATATGGAGGGGGATGTGCTGCAGCCTGCCACAGCCACCATGTTTGGTTGTGGTGCACACACACACTCCTCAGCCCCAGGAATGTCTTTGGGCTCAAAACACGGAGGACCCTGTAGGGAGGGCGTCCTTGTAGGACTGTGTCCTCAAAGGACCCATATCCTTGCAGAATTCTTCAATGTGCCTGGCAGTGCCCAATGCCACCGTTTGGCTTTTAAAGTGCTTCCTGTAGGATGAGATAATAAAAACACGTGATAGACACTGCTAATCACCCTCTGTGCCCACCCACCACGGCTGCTTGTGCACGGGCTGGGAGGCTGTGCTTGGCTCGAGAGGAGACAACACCACAAAGCCTGGAGCCTGTCCAGTGCACATGCTTTGAACAGCCCTACAGCCTGCAACCACTGTGTTTGTGATGCAGCTGTAGGGGTTAGAGGTGCAAGTTGGCACAGCTGAGTGGTCGTGGTGGTGCCCAGGTCTGCGATGCCCATTGGGCTCATCCTGGGAGAGTGGCAGCATCAAATGTGCCTGAAACAATGCTGTGGAAATACAGGCTCAGGGGCTTCAGTGAGCCCAGGTAGTGAAGAGGCTGGATCACACCTGAAATTGCTGAGCACATTCCACTGCTGCTGAACTGCTGCGCTGGGGCTTTGGTCCAGCCGAGTCTGACTCCCAGTGCTCCAGAGAGCTGTCCCAGTACATCCAATTAGCTGCACTTCTGCATTTCCAGCTCCTCTTGCATCGTCCTTTCCTCAGCACTCAGGCTGTGATGTCCTGGGCCACAACCCCAGCACACTGTCCTGTATGTCCAAGGTCTAGAAGCTCCAGTTCCTGCAATGGCTTTTTCCATCTGGGCCTGGGACCGGCAGTGGTACACAAGGTACTGCCTAACAGCTGGAAGGCAATTACTTGGAGAAAGAGGGGTTTGACCAGCATCTAACCTACAGGTCAGGTCTTCAGAAGCATCTTCATGCTGCCCCACTAGCTGTCACACTGCCTCCTCAAGGCCATGTCAACTCTCAGGTACCAAACTCCTCTGTTGTCCACAGACCCTCCCTAAACACGCAAGAATTCAGGGTTGTGAGCTGGTCTGGCTCCTTGATTGTGCAGGAGGCACCAGCAGCTTTGGGAATGTGCCACCCCACAAGGGCATCACTCATTGCTTTCAGTTTTGTTTTTAACTACAGTGTGACAGAGAACAGCAATATCTTACTGCACAAGAAAGCAGCAGCAGACACTGTGATGTTCCTGCTGTAGCTCCTGTCTTTGGCAGCAGGTCTCGGGGTGGGCAAGGCTGATCCTGTGCTCCACAGCCCTTTCTGAACGTTTATTCCTGCATGAACACAGCATGGTTTTGAGTGATTACACACAATTCGTGTGGAAGTCAGCACAACAGAGGACACAAGTTGCTTTTCAGCTGTAGCCCTGGAAGAAGCATTGTTGTGGAGCTGGCGGGTGACGCTGGTGTTCAGGCTGGAGAGGGACATGG